CTGTGATTTGTAGACATGTGGAATGAACGTTGTGAGATTGTAGACGTGTGTAATCGAGGCTGCGAGATTGTAGACGTGTGTAATGGACGTTGTGAGATTGTATACGTGTGTAATGAACGTTGTGAGGTTGTAGACTTGTTTAATGGACGCTGTGAGATTGTAGACTTGTGTAATGGACGTTGTGAGTTTGTAGACGTGTGTAATGGACGTTGTGAGTTTGTAGACGTGTGTAATTGACGTTGTGACATTGTAGACGTGTAATGAACGTTGTGAGTGTGTAGACGTGTGTAATTGACGTTCCGGGTTTGTGGATGTGTGTAATTGACGTTGTGAGTTTGTTGACGTGTGTAATTGTCGTTGTAAGATTGTAGACGTGTGTAATGAACGTTGTGAGATTGTAGAAGTGTGTAATGAACGTTGTGAGATTGTAGACGTGTGTAATGGACATCGTGAGATTGTAGACGTGTGTAATGGTCGCTGTGAGTTTGTAGACGTGTGTAATGGACGCTGTGAGTTTGTAGACGTGTGTAATGGACGCTGTGAGTTTGTAGACGTGTGTAATGGACGCTGTGAGTTTGTAGACGTGTGTAATGAACGCTGTGATTTTGTAGACATGTGGAATGAACGTTGTGAGATTGTAGACGTGTGTAATGGAGGCTATGAGATTGTAGACGTGTGTGATGGACGTTGTGAGATTGTATACGTGTAATGAACGTTGTGAGGTTGTAGACTTGTTTAATGGACGCTGTGAGATTGTAGACTTGTGTAATGGACTATGTGAGTTTGTAGACGTGTGTAATGGACGTTGTGAGATTGTGGACGTGTGTAATGGACGTTTTGAGATTGTAGACTTGTGTAATGGACGCTGTGAGTTTGTAGACGTGTGTAATGGACGTTGTAAGATTGTAGACGTGTGTAAATGACGTTGTGAGATTGTAGACTTGTGTAATGGACGCTGTGAGTTTCTAGACGTGTGTAATGGACGCTGTGAGTTAGTTGCAGTTGCCGCAAATCGAGTTGTAGTAGTCGCTCTTGAAATTGGCGCATATATGTCAACAAAATCTATGTTTTTTTGCCATCAATAGGGAATGGCATTTTAAACAAATAAAGTTGCATTTTTGTTTACTTATTTTAAAAATGGGACAGTGAGAGCATCTGTAATTGATCACAGTCGTAATTATATTACAGAAAAGCAACAATCAGCAAAAGCAATCGGTAAAGACATTTTAAGACTAAGATACCTATCTACTTTAACATACTTCGTTTTGCTCTGCAAATGTCTCCTACATCCTTAACTGTAGGCATGCGCATTATTATCGTCGCTTTGTGCGCAAGTAAACAATCTGGAACAAAGTCTTTAGTGAAAATTAAAAGTGAAAAATTTGTCGGCGGCTTATGAACTTTATATTTACCCTGGCCAGAATGTTGCCAAAATTAACGCAATTTTAACAAGAATTGTTTGGCTGATTTAATGAGGGGCATATTCACATATACAATTGGTTAAGTGGTGATATTTTATAAAGTGATTAATGTACGTGAATACAATTATGACAAAGTTCGTCCATGAGCGGTTGATCGTGTACCACGGATGGCGTTGTACCAGCAAGCCGCTCAACACATTGAACTAGAATTACGTTGATTTTAGAGTCGGGATTATAGGTACCATGGAAACAGAAAATACACAAGCTTTCTGTGCAAAGAAGGTTCGACTCAATCGATGGGTGTATCCATACTTTATAATGTTTGTTGTTTATTTCAGTTGTAGTCAAAAATAAATAAATAATTGATACAACGAATATTTCCTTAGTAAGTCATACCTCAGCTAAGGCTGTTTCAAATTTCATGACGTCTTCCACAAACTGTTCGACCTTCCGCTGATCCGCCCCTAGGAGCCCAGCAATAGTTGCCATAAATTCACGGTATGCGTTAATAACCTGCAGTCATAGACAAACGAAAATAAATATTTATTTCATTCGGTAAAAAAAACGACATCATTCATTCGTATATTTTCGAATTGTGTAATGAGTGAAGGGTCGATTATATTCAGGTAATTGGATATGCCTGTACGACTACTGCCGTGATTGAAAAAACGTGTGATTCCAGAAAATGGTAGAACGGTATCAATAAGTGCTACGGTTGAATTTGTTGGGGGTCTGAAGTCTCATTCCCACTTTTGGTCATAAGCCAGAATATCCACTTACCGCACTGATATTTCTCTTAACATGCACGACAAATCAGGAATACGACATGCTATCAACGACATGCAGCTGGCTGATAACTAAACATACAAATATCAATGTCATCTGCACGCAATGAACCCGATAGCACCACACTCGTATATTTGTATCACTGACATTACTCACAGTTCTTGAAACAACACATCTCGATCAGTACATATACACCCCCACGAAGATATGATATATACAGTGGCAATTGGAGCAGCTGTGCTTTATTTTCATTGTCAACATCGAATGCCGATGATCGCAAAATGCCCTTCCTTAAACGTGAGTTGACATTGCTTTCAAAAGTGTTGACATATATTTTCAAAAGTAAGTCAAACATTCTAACCCCTCTCCACACACACATACTCAAAAA